TACCATAGATATTATGCAATCCATATCTTCAAGGCTGATTCCCCATGTTTCAACGCGGGGAAAGTAATATTCTAACGCAGACAAATTAGGGTATAAACACAAACTCAACCCAAAACAATGCAATAAAGCAACGGACAACCAATATATTCTACTTAAGTCATTCCGAACGAGTAAACATCTCTTTATAAACAGCCCAAAAGCAATTGTGTTGTCACTTACATTGCAGTTTTCTTCAACTGTCAGTTAAGAAATACGCCGAGGACCGGGTTCTAATCCCCACATGGGTACAGAGTATGAAGCCCATTTCTGGTGTCCCCCGCCGTGATGTTGCTGGAATATTGCTAAAAGCGGAGCCAAACCAAAACTCAGTCAGTCAGTTAAGAATTACTTCCATCGCAAAGTTAATACATTTTGTTCTATTTATAATACAAATGTACCATAAACAAATAAAGATTCATTTAATGATAAGATCAGTGACTAAGTATCTCTAAACCAAACAAGTCTTTAATCAATCGCTTTTCTCGACAGAAATCCTAAAACATTTAAAAAGTTTATTTGCAAATTTTTTTAGAATGTACATCACAATGCAGCTAGGGTTTTTGCCAACAGGTATCTTGGTGTATACACTGGCAATTAATTTAATTAATCGTCCTCCGATCGATACCATGGTTCTAGACATACAAAATGGAAGACACGGTTACAGGATAATTGCAGCTTAACCTTTCAATCATTTTTTCGGACAATGGTTGCCATGACAACATTTAACACATGTACAACAGTGTGTTGTGTCAGCAACAACTGAATGACATCAGAAGTTTAGTTTGGTTTGCTTTGACACCGAATCCTGTGCTTCGATCTACGGTAAAGTTACTGCCAATATGTAAAGGAGAACACGTGTTAAATTTGTATCATATTATGAGTCATATATTTATAGTAACATAGGTAGTATCTCAGCCTCATCATTACTTTTATATGAGATAAACAACTACCAAGATAATACTGCAGTAAAACAATTAGCATCGTGTCACATAATTTTATTAAAAACATAATGGAGAACACTAGAGATGTATGACTATAAGCCTTTTACACAATATACTATTCAGGCTAATACACATAGATCATTTTACAAGGGACCCTGAGGTCTTACGATGGGAAATTGCTTGAAAGGGGAGGAGTGCTGACCGTTGCAGATGGCACGCCTGATACCATTGGTGCCATCGGTGGTCTTTACTAAAACGAGACATTGATACCATCAATGTTTTATATTGCATCGGACCATATGTGCCATCATTGGCTTCTACTGCAAGGATCCATTGGTGCCACCGATGGCTTTTTCTGCAACAATTCATTTATGCCATCAATGGTTTTTACTGCAACGAACCATTGGTGCCATCAATGGTTTTACTGCAACGAACCATTGGTGCCATCAATGGCTTTACTGCAGCGAACCATTGGTGCCATTACTGGCGGTGATGACAGGACTTGCCATCATCTTGAAACCCTTAACAGTTGAAGCAGTGAAATGCATTTGGTGAATATGCATCACCTTCAATGTTAAAATAGCCAGCTTGGAATTATTTCGGAATTTGGAAACGAGCAAATGAGAAAGGTATACACTAGTATTTACTGACATGGAATTTTCTGGTAGATCGTTTTACAGTTTTCACGCCTCATGGATTCTGCTCCATAATAATCTCCCTTTCTGAGATGCTAATCGTATTTTATGAATTCAGTGATTTAGCTACTTTGAGATCAATCTCAGTATCGACCTTTTTGAGCAACCGCGTCCGTGGTATAGTGGTTAGAGCGTCCGCCCGGAGAGCGGAAGGTAGCGGGTTCGATCCCCGACCGCGTCATACCAGAAGACGTTAAAATATGGTACTTGTTGGCCCCTGTCTGGCGCTCGGCATTAATGGGTACAACAAGGACTGGTCGGCTCGGAGTCATTATAATGTGTCTGAGTGGGGTATTCATTTCTTCACTGCGACATGGTATTTCAGTGGGTTAGCACTATAAAACCAGCTTCAGTCTGGGCTAGTACAAGCAGCCGCACATACACATACACACGCATGCACATCGTCATATGAACGAAATATTCTCAACACGACGTTAAACCCAATTTCGCCTCACCTGACCTCACCTTTTGAGCGGATGTAAAGAATGCTGAAACCGTGCACATTCTGACGGTATTCCAGCTATAGGGCAGACCAGTGAAGCACCCATCTACGATGACATGTGTCAGCAAAGTCTGCGAGTCTGACCTCTCGATACCGTTTGTAACCTCTTGCGGCAAGCATTGGTTGTTGAAAACAAGATGTAACCCGGATCTTCTCTGGTCTGTCATGTTGATGTCATCTTAGGGGACCAATCTCTTCAGGAATGGCCATTTAGAAGCGCATATCTTTACTAAACAAACCATTTGGTAATTTCTGCTTTAATTTAGGACGTGTACCCACAAATTGCCAGTTGGCAAAACACGGAAGAACTTGTCAGTGATGTAACTCTCCGGCAAAAGACGACGAAGTTAACTATCTTTTTCATTATGAACATTTTACGTCCTTGAGAAAACAATACATACCCGACAATTATATTATTCGCAATTTCTTACAATTGTGTAATGTGACGTATACACGACATACGGCCAGTTTAATGACCAGAGGCCGGTAACATGACTGCGAATCTGACGTTCATGGGTGTATGTTTTTTATGAGAATGGACTCTTGAAATGATGTGAACACAGACGGGCTGCTTCGTTGGGAGATCCTTGGAAATTCCCTTGCATGAACAGATACAGAAGCATTGTTTCCGATCATTTGGACTTGGAAGTTTTAGCATAATTTGGATAAGCCAGATAGTTTGATTGGATGCCCTCTCAAGAATATCCTGGCCGTAAAGGTCTGGGTTAGAATATTGAACTTCAGTAACCCATGCTTGCCGTAAGAGGCAAAATAACGGGATCGGGTGGTCAGACTCGCTGACTTGGTTGACACATGATTGCGCAGATCGATACTCCTGTTGTTCATCACTGGATTGTCTGGTCCAGATTCGATTATTTACAGACCGCCGCCATAAAGCTGGAATATTGTTGAGTGTGGCGTAAAACTAAACTCAATCACTCACTTAATCCAATCAGCTTAATTACCAACAGTGTTGGACTAATCACGGAGGCATGACACTTTGAAAGAGCTCTTAGTAGCATGATGAAAACGAAACACAACAAACCAAAGATGTTGTATATATATTTACATTTACTCTATGAATGTTCGTACACCAATGAAATCAGAGTGAAAGTCAATCTCCTTAACGCCATAAGCATGAAAGCACTGTCACGATGTATTTGATGTTAGTGGCTGTATCCTCAAAGGGGGTGAAAGTACTGTAAAATGATTGTCATCCTGAGAGGGTACGTAAGTCCCAAAACAATCGAAGTAAATTAAACCGTTCCACTTTTTTAATCGTAGAATACGTGTTCTTTCAATGTATGGCTAGATTTGCTAAATTGCTAACGGCTGAAGGGATGGTATAAATCCACCTAAGGTCTATGCAGGAAGCAAATGTACTGTAAGTCCCCATGGTCCCTAGTGTGGTGATCTATCTTCAGTTGTTGGCAAATATATAGTCTGTTGTTACCTTGTGTTGTCATCTATAGTTAAACTGTTTGAGATCTAATTACTAGTTTTAAATTCGAATCTGTGATCATCTAGTTATTTTACTGTCCTTCGTTGACAGGTTTTACAATTTACCATTAATTACTATGCATAAAATAAATTGTTCTCGTCACGAAATGGCTGAAATAGTGCCGATGTGACGATAAATTTTAACTCACGCAGTCACGATGTATTTATATCCTGCCACATGAGACTACCATCCCGCCATATTGATATCTATATGTTATAATATTTTGTTCATGCATGACAAACTCACATGTATGATAGTTTTATTGAATAATATAGAGATGTATGAGGAGATTCTTGAGGGGCAAGAAGGCATTTAGATGTCACCTAAAGAAGGGGCAAGAAGTAGCCCGGAAACGTCATGTTATACAATACTGACTGACTGAGTTTGGTTTTTACGCCGCTTTTTGCAATATTCCAGCAACATCAAAGCGGGTGACACCAGAAATGGGCTTCACACATTGTACCCATGTGGGGATTCGAACCCGGGTCTCCGGCGTGACGAGCCAACGCTTTAACCACTAGGCTACCCCACCGCCCCTATTATACAATAAAGAAGTTTGCCACACCTATAATCGTCTTAAAGAGATGTATGATATTTTTATTGAATAATATAGAGATGTATGTCCATTATTCGTTCTCGCGTGACACTGGTGGCTTTAAGAGAATAATAAACTTTAAACTTGTTTCACCTCAATGGATACAATTATTACAAAATGCGGCATAAAACCCATCTCAATCACTTGGTCGTGAATTTCATCAGCAACTTACGGGAGATTAGAAAATTTCTTGATCAATTTGAGTCAAGGGTTCAGGCCATGCTGCATTTTCTCTTAAACAAGATCATATCCAGAAATCTTCAAACATCCAGTTCCTGCCTGATAGCCTTCATCTGTGTCACCCTGTGAGTGAGTGTGGTTTTGACTGCAATGTTACAGCGGTAGCAAGCGAACAATTGGCTTCACATATTGTTCCCATATAGCGTCCATCGCAACCATATACATAACTATAAACACCGTCCAAATTCCACCAAGTGTTTCTGACAGAGAACCATTCCAGACAATTTGTCTGCTACAGTTTGGAAGGCGTACCTATGTTTTAAGGAAAAAAACTCGAAAACATCTCTGTACATTCGATCGTGAGGACAAAATCACAGTAATCAGTATCAACGCCGTTGATGTGTCCAACTGTTGTCTCGAACAGCATCACCTTCAAATTAACCTCGGGACGGTGGGTTAGCACAGTGGTTAAAGCATTCGCTTGTCACGCCGAAGACTCGGGTTCGATTCCCCACATTGGTCAATGTGTGAAGCCCATTTCTGGTGTTCCCCGCCGTGATATTGCTAAAAGCGGCGTTAAACCATACTCACTCACTCAAATTAACCTCGTTTTTACACAAATATTTCACAGACGAACTTCTGCTCCTGATCGTCACAGGATGTGTCATCATATACCCGGCCAGGCTCCAGTTCTAAACAATTCCCTCCATCGCCAGTGAGGGTAACCCATGGAATTATCGAATTATCTGCCATCCATCTCCACTCTCCATCAGCAGTCTCTTCCGCGCCTAGGAAATACTCATCATTACCTGTATCTGTAAGTAAGTGAGACAGTTAACAAATGTACAACAAACGTACACAAGAATAATGACCACTTTGGTAACATAAATTTAAATATATGAACCGAAAAGCTTCATTCGGAAATTGACCACTCTGCCTATAGTCACAGTATGGATGAAAATACTGCCGACGGACTCACCCATCTCTCACACGAATAACACGTGTGTAAAGATACTGAAAACAGTGAAGATATAAGTGCTTTTGTATAAAATGCTGAAATATAATTATATATTACTCTATCCCACTACCTATGAAATGTTGCCTATGTGACTTAAACCTTTCATTCATTCACTGACATGAATAAAATGTTTATGAATACTGAAAATACTGATTTGAAATTTTTGGCTGTTGTAAACAATGCTAACCTGCTTCAACGATGCCCTCAACAACCGTTTTTCGTGCCTCAGTGTTGAGCATGATCAGTATGCCTCCTTCATCCTGGCACGCTTGTTCAGCTTCCCATCCTCTCTGCCGTTCTGTGTGAACCTTGTAGCAGAGGTGGGCCTCCTGGTTAATCTCGTATCCCGGGTTGTTGGTACAGGAGGCATATGCTGGCATAGATACAGAGGAATAGCTACAAACATCAGTAAACTCAAACATAAATAGATGTAAACATCAGTAGATATAAACACCAGTAAATGCAAACATCAGTAGATACAAACATCTATAGACACAAACATCAAAGATACAATCATCAGTAGATGCAAACATCTATAGACACAAAGACCAGTAGATACAATCATCAGTAGATACAATCATCAGTAGATGCAAACATCAGTAGATACAAACATCAGTAGATACAATAATCAGTAGATGCAAACATCTATAGACACAAACATCAGTAGATACAATCATCAGTAGATGCAAACATTAGTAGATGCAAACATCAGTAGACGCAAACATCAGGAGATACAAACATTAGAAGACACAAACACCAGTAGATACAAACATCGGTAGACGCAAACATCAGTAGATACAATATTCAGTAGATGCAACATCAACAGATTGCAAACATCAGTAGATACAAACATCAACAGATTGCAAACATCAGAAGATACAAAACTCAATAGATCCAAACATCGGAAGAAACGAACATCAATAGATACAAAATCTATAGACACAAACATCAGTAGATACAAACATCAGTAGATGCAAACATCAACAGATTGCACCATCACAAGGGATAGATATTTCGATGTTAAAACTGTCAAGGATATTTTTAATAATGTTAATTATCATTTTATTATCGATTTGTTAAAAGAAATAGAATTTTAGATACATTTTGATTCAAGTTGTGTAATAAGATACATCTTTATGCTAGGTAGTTTAAATACACAGTTGATATCGTTAATGGTAGTATCCTGAACAGGGGTTAAAGTACTGTAAAATTATTGTCCTCCTGCGAGGGTACGTAAGTACGGAAGCGCTGAAGGGAACTGATGAAATAAAAATTTATCTTGAGCGCACGAGTTAGTTTGTTGAGTGCACAAGTTAATATATTAAGCGTACAAGTTAGTTCTTGAGCGAACAAGTTAACATCTTGAGCGCACGAGTTAGTATGTTGAGTGCACAAGTTAATATACTGAGTCAAAAAAGAAACTTCACAAAATGTAATTTGAAAAATAATGAATAATTTTTCTCTGATGATACATCTATGTATCCGAAATGGGATCCCTATCTGTCGACTCTAGAAAAACGTTAGCAAAACCCACTCAAACCCATCCATTCGTCGTGCAAATGACGTTAGTGCCAAATCAGGTTTTGCACGTGCAGTCGATCACGTGATCTTCGTATCGAAGTTTTCTTCGTATGCACGTGTTTGCATTGGCCTCAAGAATTAAAAACACTTTTAAACCACAGTTGTAAGGGTACTTGAAATGCCACGATTGTCAAATGTGCAACGTGAACGTGCCGTTGGCATGTTGCAAGCGGGAAGATCAGTTATTGACGTCGCAAGAGCAATGGGATGCAGCCGTCGTACTGTGTATGACTTGCGAGGTCGTCTTCAACAAACTGGCACCACTTCTGATCGCCCAAGGTCGGGTCGTCCACGTGTGACGTCACGAGCAGAAGACCGTCAAATCGTCCTACGTCACCTACGTGACAGATTTCTGCCGGCTACACGAACCAGGACTGAGATGTTTAGAGGTCGACTGTCCTCACAGACCATTCGAAATCGGTTGCGGGCTGCCAATCTCTATTCTCGACGTCCATATCGTGGGCCAATATTGACGCCGTTTCATCAACGTCAACGTCTGCTGTGGGCCCAACGTCACCTCCGATGGACCCAGAGAGACTGGAATCGAGTCGTCTTTAGCGATGAATCCAGGTTTACCCTCAGATTCGCGGACGGCAGGCATAGAGTCTGGAGACGACGTCGTGAACGGTATGCCCAATGTTGTGTACAGGAAGTCGACAGATTCGGGGGCGGAAGTTGCACGGTGTGGGGTGCTTTCTGTGGGAACAACCGTTCCCGACTTCTGGTCATCCGTGGAAACCTCACAGCTGCTGCTTACCGCGACCAGGTACTCACCCCTGAACTCGTTCCTTTCATGGCAGCTCATGGCCCAGGTCTACAGTTCCAGCATGATAATGCTCGGCCGAATACCGCGATGTTGGCACGAAATTTCCTTCAAAACGCTGGAATGAACGTCATGGACTGGCCATCGAGGTCCCCTGACCGTAATCCAATAGAGCACGTTTGGGATGCACTTGGGAGAAGGCTTCGTGGTCTTAGGAACCAATCTCAGAATTTGCAGGAACTTGGCGCTGCCTTGCAAGAGCAATGGCGCAGAATCCCCAACCACGTGTTCACAAGCATCAGGCAGTCGATGAGGAGACGGTGTTTGGCAGTGGTGAATGCGCGGGGCGGCCATACACGATATTGAACTGAGAAATTTCCCATTTTTATTCTTGTGACTTGACATTGTGTATACCCATGTTTTGGAACGGCGGTGTAGCCTAATGGAACTGATTATGGCACTGTCAGTGTATCGAGTACATCACACAGATCTCAGGAATGAAATAATAACAATTTAACCATCTTACCATCTCTTGTTCTTTTATAGTGCCCTGAAGAAAGAATGTGAAGTTTCTTTTTTGACTCAGTATATATTGAACGCTCAACTTAGTTTTCTTGAACGCACAATTTAATATATTGAGTGCTCAAGTTAGTTATCTTGAGCGCACAAGTTAACATCTTGAGTGCACAAGTTAATATCTTGAGCGCACAAGTTAGTATGCTGAGCGCACATGTTAACATCTTGAGCGCACAAGTTAATATCTGGAGCGAACAAGTTAGTATCTTGTGCGCACAAGTTAATATCTTGAGCGCCCAACTTCGTGTTTAGCATCTAATGGCATTAATGGAGCGCACATTTGCTTGACTGCTGGCTAAAATGTACAAACTTATATCCTTTTTGGAAGATTTCAAACGATGCAAAGTCGGAGTTAAATAGGTGGTTATGATGAGACTATGTAAAAGTATGCAAATTTATCATGATCATTGTTAATGTTTATCATGTAAACGTTCATCGTCTTTATGCTTGTCAATACTATTCTTTGTATCTGATTTTACCACTTTTTGTTTTATTACATAAAGCAGGCCAAGGTATGTGTAATGTCATAATAAGAATTAACACATAAACATGAGTAGGAGTTTATTGCAGGGATATATATAGTATTACATGACCATGAAAAATGTAAACATTGAGTGTTATACTTAATTATCTTAATTATAAAACTGATGTCTGATGTATTGGAAGTAAAGTCGACTTCTTTCATGGAACTATAGTCTGTAGTTTTGGTTTGCATGTATCAGTAATGTTTCCTAACGTGGGTACAATGGCAGTTTAACTCTGTACAATATCATATAAAACCCGCCTGATTTATTTGATCCATTAGTATGTGCACGTATAGCACATATACCGACTTTATTTCTTACTAAAATACCACGTTCCCCGTTTTACTTCCTCCGTTTCAATCCCTTAAGTATACGTATGTAGTTATTTAACATGTTTTAACAACACAGGAAAATGAAGAATAAACACGTCGATGAAGACGGTGTCTTGAGCGAAATTCAACACCATCCGGGGCCACCACTCTAAGCAACGACCGTACAGTATCCTGTTTCACGATTAAACCACATTGGATACATTTTTATGCATCCAACGATAACCATGTCTTTGTCCAGATCGTCGAAGTTGTCTGCAATAAAGTCTGTAACATCATCGTGGCGGTGGGGTAGCCTCGTGGTTAAAGCGTCCGCTCGTCACACCTGGGTTTGATTCCCCACATGGGTACAATGTATGCAGCCTATTTCTGGTGTCCCCCGCTGTGATATTGCTGGAATATTGCTAAAAGCGGTGTAAACCGTACTAACTCACTCACTGTAACATCAGCAATTCTGGTATCTGGTGAGAAAGAGGGACATACACCTCAGAATACGCTTCAAGTGGCGTACTATACTATACCATGATTTTTGACAAGAAGATGTGTTATGTGTTTGTATTGGAACCCAAGACTGAAATATGCATGAATCAGCTCGCGATTCCGCTCCTCCTTGCTTCCACATGAACTGCTTATGGCGCAGTGTATCTCAAGATACTAAGTTGAGAGCTCAACATACTAACGTGTGCGCTCAAGATAATTAACTTGTGCGCTCAAGATATTAACTTGTGCGCTCAAGATGTTAACTTGTGTGCCCAAGATACTAACTTGTGCGCTCAATATACTAACTTGTGCGCTCAAGATAAATTTTATTTCATCAGGTCCCTTCAGCGCTTCCGTACGTAAGTCCAAAACAATTCAATTTAATTTAAACTTACTATGGTTTTTTAACTGCAGTATATGTGTTATTTTAATATGTTATGGCTAGATTGTCAAAACTTGCTGACATCTGAAGGGATTGTGTAAACCAGCTAAGCTCCATGCAGGTAGCAAAAGTAATCTAAGTCCCCATTGTTCCTAGTATAGTGATCTCCCTACAGTTGTTAGCGATCTATAGGCAATGTTTATATTGTGTTGTCCTCTATAGTTTAAATGTTTTAGATTTAATTACTAGTTTCACATTTATATCTGTGATATTCTAGTTGTTTTACTGTATTTCATTGACAGGCTTTATATAATTTACCTATAATTATTATTGATACGTAACTTTCACGATACGGCTGAAATACTGCCGATGTGACTTTAAATTTTAACTCACTCACTCACTCACTCAAACAGATTGCAAACATCAGTACATACAAACATCAACAGATTGCAAACATCGGAAGAAACGAACATCAGTAGATACAAACATCAGTAGATACAAACATCAATCAATACAAACATCATAGATGTAGACAGAAGAGAAAGATATATACCGTCCCAATTGTCCCTAGTGTGGTGATTTGGCTGTTGGTCTGTAGCCTGGTATTATAGTTTACGGTCTTAGTCGCAACAAGCTGTACATACATGTCTGTCCAGCACTGATAGGTGTTTGGTTCATACTAATGTATAACTACATCGTAGTTTGTCGTTGAAGGCTGCACATTATTGGACACAATATAATATGATTCAGTGGAGGAAATGAAGGGAAAACCAATAATACGTTTTAGTACAAAGACTGACTGACTGAGTTTGGTTTTACGCCGCTTTTAGCAATATTCCAGCAACATCACGGCGGGGGACACCAGAAATGGGCTTCACACATTGTACCCATGTGGGGATTCTAACCCGGGTCTTCGGCGTGACGAGCCAACGGTTTAAGCACTAGGCTACCCCACCGCCCCTTAGAACAAAGACTTGCTAATCCTATTCTGTGACAATGTGTGAGTTCGATCGAAGTTTTCAGGAGAAAATAAGGATAAAGCAAACAGCTGGTTTCACTACAAGGGCCTTGGAGTTCTTAAGGAGTTATATCGAACCGCTGTATAAAACAAACCCGACGGTGTATTTGTGGGATTGACTTCTTTCGGTTTATTCAGGTATGAAGAAAAACCCGATTTGCAAACTGTATGATGCCGTCGTGTTGCCGACAATGTAGGTCAAGTTGTGGGTGTACTTGAAACCGTGGTGTCGAGAAAGTTCTTTTCTTTTTCAAGATCAAACTTTTGTCCCAGAAATCTGGATCCTTGATCTCACCTCGGAACTCGTGAGGATCCGGGTTAGAATTGGTCTCCAGCAACCCATGCTTGTCGTAAGAGCATGCAGTGCAACCAGCTCAGTAAGGATTCGTGGCTTGCAGGATTTGCGGTTTGTTAGCATTTGAGGTGGAATCAATATTCAACTTTTAGAACAGAAAACACATCAACGCTCAAGAACTAGAAACACCGCACTTCGTCTACGCTGAGTGTCAGTTGGGAAAGTGAGTGAGTGAGTTTAGTTTTACGCCGCACTCAGCATTATTCCAGCTGAATGGCGGCGGTCTGCAAATAATCAAATCTGGACCAGACTATCGGGTGGTCAACAGCATGAGCATCGATCTACACAATTGGGAACCAATGACATGTCTCAACTGAAGATTAGTTTTAACCCGGATCTTCACGGCTCAATTGGGAAAGACTAAATTGATTTTTGTGTAGAATTGTGTGATCACGGCCTCTGATAATGATGTCGTTGATCACTGGATTGTCTGGTCCAGACTCGATTATTTAGAGACCGCCTCCATACAGCTGGAATATTGCTGAGTGGGGCGTTAAACAACAACAACAACAACAAAAAGAACAAATCAAAAAACAAACAAAACCACCAACAACAAACAAACGAATCTTACCTTCCGGAACTGGTCGACCTAGAACATAACGAAGGCATCAATAAGTTGGTCAAATATTATTGCCATATTGATTCATAGTGTGATACATGTGCAGACCTTTTGTTTCCAAGGGCAAGTATAGTGAAATTTCAATTAGAGTGCTTAAATGTTTTCCAGGCGTGCCTCTTTTCATCAATTGCTTCTCACCACACTTAGTTGTATCTTTTCCCGCTGCTTTTGGACCTAAACAGCGAAAGCAAATCAAGAAAAACAGGAAATAATGTTAAATATATTTGGAAACAGAGTGAATGAGTGATTGTTTGCCATTTTTAGCAGTTATTCGGCAATATCACAACCCGGAAATATTCTTCTGGCCTCCCATATGGGGAATCGAACCCTCGTCCAGGCCGCTCCGACTCCGCCTGAACCCAGCACTCCGATGCAGTGTGGCTATAGCAGTCACAGTTATTTACGTTGTATTTGGTGACTAATTATATCACTTAAATCCAATATGCATAGGGAGATGGGGTAGCCCAGTGGTTAAAGCGTTCGCTTGTTGGAACAAAGGTCCGATTTCCCACACTTCTTATGCCTGGAGATATTCTGCTGGATTATCGCTTTAAGCGGCGTGACCTAGTATGGTGATCCACCTTCAGTTGTTGGCGATCTATAGCCCGTGTTTTATATTGTATTGTCTTTTTTAATTGGAATGTTTTAGCTTTGTTCGCTAGTTTTATGTTTCTATCTGTGATTCTCTAGTATTTTTACTGACCATCGTCGACAGATTCTATCTTCAAAATGTTTTCACTTTTTCTTGCGTAAATTGTTTTCGTCACGATATGGCTGAGATATTGCCGATGTGACGTTGAATATTAACTCACTCACTCACTCACTTTAAGCGGCGTGAACTATAATTACTCACAACAACTTCAATATGCCTTTCAAGAACCTCAATTACTCACTCACTCACCAAATTGAATATCTGTGCATGACTGTGCTTACCGCCGGAGTGAAAGGTATTTCAGAAATATATTAATTTTGATCTGAATAGAACTGCAATATATAATGGACTATTGGTTTATTTTGGGAGGAAGCCAACAATTTTCATGTTGAAGAATGACTGTATTGATTTTTCCATCCCAAGGGATAAATATTACAATGTCAAAACAGTTAAGGATCTTTCTTATCATATAAATTATCATTTAATAATTGATTTTTAAGATATAGAATTGTTAGATAAATTTTGAACAATATGTTTTGTAAATTGATAAATGTTATTTTAAACATGGTAGTATAAATTTGCAACTGCAATTGTTAGTGGCTGTATCCTCAAAGGGGCTTAATCCAACTAGGGTCCATGCAGGAAGCAAATGTACTGTAAGTCCCCATGGTCACTAGTATAGTGATCTACCTTCAGTTGTTGGCAATACATATCCTGTTTTTATATTGTATTGTATTCTATAGTTAAAAGTTTTTAGCTTTTCATACTAGTTTTATATCTATATCTGTGATCCTCTAGCTATTTTACTGTCCTTCTTTGACAGGTTTTATAATTTGACCTTAGTTATTACAACTTTATTTATTATTCAAATCCTCGTCACGATATGGCTGCAATATTGCCGATGTGACGTTACACTTTAACTCACGCGCTCAAAGGGTCTAAAAGTATCTTAAAATTATTGTCCTCCTGAGAGGGTACGTAAGTCCAAAACTTTCAAAGTCAATTTAGCTCAACCATGCTTTTTAATCGTAGTATATTTGTTATTTTAAATTATATCTAATTTTTCCTACAATTGCCAGTGGCTAAAGGGATGGTGTAAATCCAGCTAGGCTCCATGCAGGTAGCAAAAGTAATGTAAGTCCCCATGGTTCCTAGTATGGTGATCTACCTAAAGTTGTTGGCGATCTATAGCAACTTTTATAAATTGTATCGTCTTCTTTAATCAACATGTTTTAGTTTTACATGCTAGTTTTATATTCATATCTGTGTATTTTTACTCTTCAAAATGTTTTCATTTTTATTGTATAAATTGTTTTTGTCACGATATGGCTGAGATATTGCCGATGTGACGTTAAATAGTAACTCACTCACTCTAAACTTCCACTCAAAGAAGTTACATGCTAACAGGAACTCTCACTGGCGTACAGAACAAACTCACCTTGAAAGTCATATCCAGTCCAGCCTGATTCTCCTCTCAAGTTCAACACTGCAATTCTCCCACTGTACAGGCAACAAGTTCTGTTTTGTGGATGGTAGAAGAAAGACGCACAGGTCCAGGTAACGCCACAAGTAGCCGCACAATCGGCCAGGTGGTCAGATATCACTGTCTTGATTGACAAATATGACGTCGGCTTGTGTTCCGTCGACGAAACCGTTAAAGCTATGTTATAACACAGATTTGCAGAAATGGCCGACTTCACGAAATGAATTAACAGAAGAGGAAATATCATTTTGAATTTCATATATATCCCTGGAAATATGTAAGTTCAACGCCAGAAATCCTGTGTCAATTTACAGTGAATCAGACTCCATTGGATGGAGAAACAAATGCGAAGTCGCGAAGTCGGTAACTTAGACCACTGTGTAATAACAATGGACATAAAATCGATCAAAATGCCTTGTTGAACGCCACGAATAAAAAATCCGGATCAACTTCATCTATGTCTAGAGCAGCATATTGATCTGATGGTTTTAATTTGTCTTATCATCAGTCGAAACGGTAGGGTGGCCTAGATCTTAATGAGTTCGCTCGTCACGCCGAAGACCCGGATTAGATTTCCCCATGGGTACCATGTATGAAGCCCATTTCTGATGTAAAATTAAACTCACTAATCATCATTCGTCATCCATCCGGTACGTAAGTCCCAAAACAATTATAGTAAATTTAAACGTACTACTTTCTTAACTGCAGCATATATGTTATTTACATTATGGCTAGAGTGCCTAAAATTGCTAACATCTGAAGGGATGGTGTAAACCCAGCTAGGGTCCATGCAGGAAGCAAATGCACTGTAAGTGCCCATGGTCCCTAGTATGCCGATCTACCTTCAGCTGTTGGCATTAATAGCCTGTTTTCACATTGTATTGTCATTTATAGTTAAATATGTTAGATTTAATTACTAGTTATAAAGTTATATCTGTGATAATCAAGTTGTTTTACTGTCCTTCGTTGAGAGGTTTTTAAAATTTACATTCAATTATAATTTGATGTAGTCACGATATGGCTGAAATATTGCCGATGTGACTTAAAATCTTAACTCACTCACTCACTCGTCATCCATCCGTATGCTTTGTGTTTCTCATCTGCAACCTCTACATACCAGAGATACGACTATCTAAAATAGAAAACAGGTTCTTCACTATTTGTGTAGCTTATTTTTATTAACTTCTTAAAATGTAGATCACTTGGTAATTGTTTTACAGTTAATTTATAATGTAGATCGTGCAGCTTTTTTCGGAGAGTTTTACATAAAATTACATGTTTTTTACTAGAGCACCGGTAAGAGTATTTTTTGTTTACCTGATTTGGTCATAAATTTCCATATGGTGAGAAAGTTGAGATAAGAAAACCGTTATTACTTTACGTCCGAATGAGGTGAGGTGAGGTGAGGTGAAATTGGGTTTAACGTCGTGCTTGAGAATATTTCGCTCATATGACGACGTGCATGCGTGTGTATGTGTATGTGCGGCGGCTTGTACTAGCCCAGACTTAAGCTGGTTTTTATAGTGCTAGCCCACTGAGATACCATGCAGCAGTGAAGCATGAATACCCCACTCAGACACATTATACTGACTCCGAGCCGACCAGTCCTTGTTGTACCCATTAATGCCGAGCGCCAGGCAGGGACCAACAAGTACCATATTTTAACGTCTTTTGGTATGACGCGGTCGGGGATCGAACCCGCGACCTTCCGTTCTCCGGGCGGACGCTCTAACCACTTCACCCCGGAGGCCGTCCGTTGTAAGACAGATGGTATCTGACAGACACTCGTTTAGTAATCTCTATGTGGCAGTGTCAGTTAACTTGTACGTAACCCTTGCAGATTCGAGTTATAATTGGTCACCAGCAGCCCATGCTTGTCGTAAGAGGCGGCGAAAGAGATCGGGTGGTCAGGCACTCTGACTTGGATGGCACATGTCATCGTATCCCAATTGTGTAGATGGATGCTCATGATGTCAATCACTGGATTGTCTGGTCCAGATTATTTACAGACCGCCGCCATACAGCTGGAATATTGCTGAGTGCGGCATAAAGCTAACTCACTCACTCACTTAACATGAGTGAGTGAGTGAGTTAAAATTTAAAGTCACATCGGCAATATTTCAGCCATATCGTGACTAAAACTAGTTCTAAATTTATAATACATACAGATAATATATAAAACCCTGTCAACGAAGGACAGTAAAACCACTAGATTATCACAAAATGAGTTAAAACTAGCTAGCATATAACTTTAAAAGTAGAAACCTATTTTTGGACAATACAATGTAAAAATGGGCCAGTAATCGCCAACAACTGAAGGTATATCACCATACTAGGGACCATTGGGACTTACAGTGCCTTTGCTAACTGCATGGACCCTAGCTGGATTTACACCATCCCTTCAGCCATTGGCGTTTATACTGAGATTTAGCCATACATTAAAAACACAAAAATACTACGATTAAAAACCTGGCACACTTAAATTGACTAAATGTCACCTAACATGAGAGACAATTAAGTGATGATCAACACATTTTGTTACATCTCAGCACATTTACTGATTTTCCTTAAAAAAAAGAAGTTAATTCTCAAATACTTTTTCTGTGTACAACCGCAGAGACCATGTCTTTACAAATAAAGAAGAACAATCGATTTGCAACACAGAAGGGAGCGGTCCCAAGAGATATAAATCAATGGATTAAACAATACGGATTATATTTGCTGAATTGGTCAATATTTACTTGTAACACAATGCAACACATGCTGGATGTTGTTGAATATTTACATAAGTTACGTCAGAACGTAGAACTGTTAACATGTACATAGAACCGTCTCATATATATTCCTGTGTCAACAAAAAGACTATGTTCCAATCGGTGCAACTGTTTATATGGCAAGTCTCTGATAGCTAAAAGACCACTTAACGTTCCGTAGTACCTGGTTTAAGTGTTTATCACTAATATTGACTTAAATGTTGAAGACAGTTGAATAACAAAAGGAAAAAATATAGAATTAGATTTCTTAAACTGGTTAAATTAAACAAAAAACAGATTTATATAATGACTTCTACACCCTTCACTTCTTTGGCAAGTCTCAGATAGCAAAACACTTAACGTCCCATAGTACATAGGTCACTTGTTTATCACTAACACTGACTTAAATATGTTCAAATGTTCGAAGACAGTTGAATAACAAAAAGAAAATAATATGGAATTAGATTTCTTAAACTGGTTAAATTAAACAAAAAACAGATTTATATAATGACTTCTACACCCTTCACTTCTTTGGCAAGTCTCAGATAGCAAAACACTTAACGTCCCATAGTACATAGGTCACTTGTTTATCACTAACACTGACTTAAATATGTTCAAATGTTCGAAGACAGTTGAATAACAAAAAGAAAATAATATGGAATTAGATTTCTTAAACTGGTTAAATTAAACAAAAAACAGATTTATATAATGACTTCTACACCCTTCACTTCTTTGGCAAGTCTCAGATAGCAAAACACTTAACGTCCCATAGTACATAGGTCACTTGTTTATCACTAACACTGACTTAAATATGTTCAAATGTTCGAAGACAGTTGAATAACAAAAAGAAAATAATATGGAATTAGATTTCTTAAACTGGTTAAATTAAACAAAAAACAGATTTATATAATGACTTCTACACCCTTCACTTCTTTGGCAAGTCTCAGATAGCAAAACACTTAACGTCCCATAGTACATAGGTCACTTGTTTATCACTAACACTGACTTAAATATGTTCAAATGTTCGAAGACAGTTGAATAACAAAAGGAAAAATATAGAATTAGATTTTTCTAAATATATACCACCCGTTACAATTAAATTGGTTAAATTTAAAAAAACAACAACACATATTTATATATTGGTTTCAACACCCGTTACTTCTTTCTCTTTCCCGAGTGACTCTAGTGTGACATATGTATCAACGCTGCAAGTTTGAAGGGAAAAATAACGGTGAAGACCAAACATTGTAGGGACGTTCTTGCAGTCTTAGTGTTGTTTCATCCTCCATTGCACCCAAACAAAGTGAAAGTCAATACTCTAAAACGTAAATCATTTTTCCTGTTCACACTACTGTACTTGCAATCTAGTCATTTTGCCAATGATTTCATACTGTTCAAATTATTATTAATACCGTTTTTAATGATATGATTTTAGCATAATTGAAAGAAATTAAATTATATCATAAGGTGTAGATTTTAAATATAGATCTCCGTCATCACTTTATCGCATATTCTCTTCAATAGGAAAATGTTTGTTTTTCCAGCCGCGAATAGCTGCAAGATTGCAGATGAGGCTATTTGTAACATTCACTCACTCACTCACTCTCTCACTCACTGGCAAATATCAAAACAGTAAAGGACCTTTTTAATAATGTTATTTATCATTTAATCATTGATTTTTTTAAAAGAGATAGATTTGTTAAATGAATTTTTGATATATGTTTTGTAAATAGATAAAGTTTTATAATTGGTAGTTCAGATTATCCACTTAGATTGTTAATGGCTGTTTCCTTAAGGGGGTTGAAGTAGCGTAAAATTATTGTCCTCCTGAGAGGGTACGTAAGTCCCAAAACTTTCAAAGTAAATTTTCAGGTACCAAGTTTTTAAACGTAGTATTTTTGTTCTTTTAAATTTCGGCTAAATTTTCCTACAATCGCCAGCGGCTGAAGTGATGGTGTAAATCCAGCTAGGCTCCATGCAGGTAGCGAAAGTAATGTAAGTCCCCATGGTTCCTAGTATGGTGATCTACCTTCAGTTGTTGGCGATCTATAGCCCGTGTTTTATATTGTATTGTCTTCTTTAATTAGACTGTTTTAGTTTTACATGCTAGTTTTATGTTCATATCTGTGATACTCTAGTATTTTTACTGTCCATCGTCGACAGGTTTAACTCTTCACACTGTTTTCATTTTTGTATTATATAAATTGTTTTCGTCACGATATGGCTGAGATATTGCCGATGTGACGTTAAATATTAACTCGCTCACTCACTTGCAATCTCAACGTCCTTAAACTATGGTCCCTAGTATGGTGATCTACCTTCTGTTGTTGGCGATCTATAGCCTGTTTTTATCTTGTATTGTCCAAATAGTGATATTAGTTTTAACTTTCCTCGCTAGTTGTAATTCTACTTGTGATATTCTAGTTGTTTTACTGTCCTTTGACGACAGGTTTATATGATATACATATGTTTCATTTTAATGTCAAATATGTTCTCGTCACGATATGGCTGAAATATTGCCGATGTGACGTTAAATCTTAACTCAC